AGAATTTGACAATAATAGAAAAAGTGAATGTTAAAAAGTATCTTGTCTTTAAATGTGAGTAATATATCATCGAAACATACATACCCAGAATTTTACAATATTTCGAGTAATTTTTACATAATTGGTTTTTAAGAAACGAAAACAGTCTAGATACAGTATTTTTTTACCTTAAACATAGTAAGGAAATATCAAAAAGGAAGTCATGTTGCATTTGGCATTGGCTTGGCTGTAAAATCTTATTTAAAATCGTCTGTTCGTGTCATAGAGGGTAAAAGTAAACATGTCCTTTGGTTTTGCTAATGGAATATATTTTCTACAACTAGAGATCTTTTGTATGGGGGTAGTATATGTGCCACCTGAAAATTCAGAGTATTCGATCGATGACCCTTTTTCTGAAATACAAGTAGATATTAATTATTTCCCGAATAGATGTACACACTTTTGCATGTATGGTGACTGGAATAGTAGAATTAAATCATCGCATTCCTATACAGATTTTGATTTCGGAATTTTTCATGAAAATGGGCTGGATGATATTATGTATGAAAATCAGTCAGATATGAACGAACTGTTCCCATGATACCAATGTCTGTCTCAGGCGAAATAACCAAGATTTAAATGATAAGAATTTTTGGTACAAGTTTTTGCAATAATTTAACATATGTGTTTTTCAAATGGTAGAACCAACAGAGATCTACTCGGGTCAGTGACCTATAAGATAGTTTGCACCGTCGACTATTTTGTGTATTCGTCAAATGTAAAATAAATTGTTGTTATTATCAATCTTTAAATGTTTTTTAATTCTGAGGACCATGTACAAAACAGAACCTTATCGAATGAGAATGTAAGGATTATGGAATTCTGGAAAGGTAGAAGATTTTATTATGAACATAGATGCAACCAGAGTAAATGACATAATGCAGTGTCTAAAATGGGTGATATTTTCCATGAAAGTGGATTACACATAAAGCAAAATATAATAAAGAAAGTCACAACTTTTCTAAATATTTGTTTATTTTTATTCTATTTCAATAAAAATTGTATTGCATTTTTTCCGCAAATCAGTGCTTTTGGCAATATTCACAAAACATATATAAATCACTTAAAATAGGACGTACACACACAACAAAATGTAATATATAATGTTCAAATGAAATGCAGAAACACATCAAATTTACAATTATTGCATTGTTTCTAAAACACTAGATCTTAAGGCGAATGTTTTATCATAATTTAATATTCTTCTTTAATTCCTGGTGACATAATGTAATAGAATTTATTTAAAGATAGAAAAGTAACATGTTTTATAAAAGATTTCTTTGTTCACAACAAAATAAAAAGTGGTATTCTGATCCAACATGTTTATATGAGCATGATTCACGTTATAAAATATTTTTGTCGGTTTTCAAGTTTCTCCTTTATTCAAATTCTAAGAAAATAGAATGAGTACATAATCTAATAGATGATAGTTGTGGACATAAATTTTTATTCTTTATAATATTAGGATATTCATGGAAAGAAAACTGTGTTTTATTTTGCTTATAGTAATCAAGCTTTGGTATATCTACATGTATATATTAGTGTCAATCACTCTTTTAAAAATTGATATCTTATTCTCTGTTTAAAAGACATGTCATAATTTACATTGGCACAGTCGTCAATGACATATGGCAAACCCATATCAGTAATAACAGAATGAATGCGTTTAGCCCAACATTTAACATTCCCGTAAATGTATTGATCTTAATATATGTCGTATATAGGCGCCTGCTGGTTTTAAAGTTCTTTCCTTACATAAAACAGACAAAGAAGTTTTTCCTAGTTCTCCATTGACACCAAAAAACAATAACAAGGCAATGGCAACGTTCACAGAACGCACCCCCCCCCCTCCCAACACACCCAAGCCACCACAGCAGCGCATGCACCAAACCAAAACCGGGAGTGGGCATAAGGGCACAAAATCTTATCTGTAATTTATCAATATTTTTCGGTTTATATAAACCTCTGACCCGTATAAAGAGATTGGAGCTACCATTCTTTCAAATAAGTATAATTTTGTTTCAACATCGAATTAAACTCTATTTTAAGTGCGAAAGCCCTTCATAATGAATGTTAAACAACTAGACGTGATTTTTACAGCTAAACATTTGCATAAAATGAGAAACACAAACGAATTTGTAAATCAAAAGTCATGTATACAAAAATGCATGTAAAAATATATGAAGAATATTCAGTACATATATGCATAACATTGAAAAATAAGGAAATTAGGTAAATTTAATCGCTAAAAGATATTGGAAAATATAGAATTGTAGAACAGTTTCCCAGTTAAGCGCGGACATTAACGAAGTATACGAATATTTAAAAAAAATATTTATTATGATAGTAATGAATATTTGGAAATTAATGTGATATTTACACGAATGACATATGTGAAGAACCGAATACAGATTTTACAACAGATGAAAGAGAAAACTCTATTTAATCACTTAAGAATAATAAGGCTTGTGATGTTGGTCGCATAGTTACAGATTACAAAAGCATTAAATTTGAAAATTAACGACTCAACTCTTGAACTGCTTGGTATTTATGTTGAAAATACACTCAATTGGTACTGTCAGGTAAATGATGTGTGAAAAAAATTAAACTCAAAAGTTAATTTATTTAGGCGTATAAAGTACTTTTTTAAATAAGGAATCTTGCATGCTTTTTTATAATGCATACCTTCTTCCTATTTTTGATTATTGTTGTAATATATGGGGGAAAGAAAACAAAATATATATGCCAAATATACAAAATACAAACACGAATTTGCAAAATTATTCTAGACCTTCCAATGAGAAAATGATCAGAAAATTTATTAATATAAAAGATTAAAAATATTGCCTTTCAAGAAAAGATGTATTTTCACACCGGTGTGCACTGAATAGTATGTCCCCTCAATATATCCGAGACTTACTTACCATATCAAATAATCAAAAGTATAATCTAAGATCGATATCTCACGGAAATTTACATTTAATCATAATATTATAAATGAATATCAGGCTGGGTTTGAAAAAGAATATTCAACTATAAATAACAAGTTCGTATTAAATACTTTATCGATTTGCTCAGAATTAGTAACATAACATAGCATAACATAACTTTTATCCGACATTAAAATTGTAACAACAAAATTATAGTCGGATTTACATCAGATAGTGCAAAAGTGAGACACGTGGTTTCCTAACCTAGATATATATATGATATGATTTACAGAAATTGTTTTGTGCTTATATCGGTTTGAGGTCAGGTTAATGGTCAAAATTTCTGTCATATAATATAATTAGAAAATTTATAAACACAATTAAATACATATATGAAAATGCAAAGTCATGTGTATGTGTTAATATTAATGTGTCTGATTATTTCATATTTTACACTGGAGTTCGTCAAGGTGAAAATCTTTCACCGATTTTGTTTCATTGTATTTAAATGATTTACATGTATAAAGTAATGTTTCATGTAACATACACGGTTTAGAGGATATCGGATTTAACCCATTACGCGATATACAAGCCTTTTAACGCCTTTTTCATCTTCCCCCCTTTTTTGGTGTCTCAAATGGTGGAAATGCCTTATTTAGACCTCCAACACTTGTTTTTGTTTGAGAAATGTTGTTTTAAAAAGTTACCACTTTTTCGGCGCGGCCCCCCAACCAAAAGATACATCAGGGGGTTGCCAGAAGGGGGATGTGCCCACTTCTGTTTGGAGGGTTTGAAGGGGGCGGTGTCACCCTCATCGCCAAGAATATTTTGGACTTGTGAGAGGCTTAACATGACCCCAGATCGATCCTAAGGTAACATGTAACCAACGCTAAAAAGCATTTGACTCTATCTCAATCCATTGAGAAGTTGCAGCACTTTGAAGTCAATTTTGATGGAAAAAAATTACGCAAAATAGTGATTTTTGGCAATTTTGAGATGTCCCCTCGTTGCCATGGTAACAGGAAATTTAAGCCTGAGCATGCTGTTGCAAGGGCAATGGTCTAGTTAACACTTGTGCCAAACTTGGTTAGTATTGAAGCAGTTTTTATAGTTTTATAGCAATTTGAACTTGTAACGGCAGACTTTTCAATGAAAACAGCCAATTTTTCACAAAATGCTCATGAAGTAATGGGTTAATTATGTAAAACTGTTTGTTGTATACAGACAACACTGTAATTCTTGCTGAAACAGAAGATGAATTACAATATGGTTAAATTATTTATAAAGGTATTGTTATACCTGGAAACCTACACTCAATGCAACAAAAAAAGTGTTGGTTTTTACAACTTTTAGAAATTTTAGATGATATAAGTATATATAAAACAAATGTTACGTATAATGTTAGAATTAAAAATTGACATGCAAATATATTCATTTAACAAAATTGTAAAACCTGGTCTGCTGTACGGATTTGAGATATGGGGTTAGGGTAATATTGATTGTATTGAAAGAGTACAACTTGAATGTTTCGAATGTATTCTAGGTTTAAGATCAAGTACACCTTAATTTATGGTGGTGTTAAACCACTATTGAAATTTAATGTAAAATGTTATCGTATTGGTCTGGCCTTACCACGACAAAACTAGTCACCGTGTTTGATATATCGTAATTTGTTAAATAATTTTAAGAACTACCGGATCTGTATCTATATTATTAATTCAGGGGCTTAAATTTGTTCAAAATATTTTGTATGAGTGTGGACTTTTCAATATTTTGAATAATCATGAATTTCATAGCCATAAATGGTTAACGATGCCAGTCAAACAGAACATATCAGATATTTTCCCCGTGTTTCGTTAACAGCAGGAAACGTTTTTTGAAACCTAACTATTTAAAGAAACATACTTTACATTGTTATGATCTGCCTATGAAAACTGGTGTTACCTTTCCAGATTTCAAAAAAAAAACTTACTAAAGAAATCATATTAAGATTCGAATGAGCCAACACGCGAATATAGCGAAAATAAGATACTTGCTGACAAAAACTTGTGATACGGTATATATTAATTTTGCTCGTGACACGTCATTTTATGCAGGCGCGGATCCAGGAATTTTCGCAAATTTCGTCAAGGGTTATGCATACTCCCTATCCAAAGCTCGCAGAGGTTCCACATTTAAACCAAATATAAGCTAGGTTGGTGGGTCATGACCCCTTAGCCATTTCACCTCCGGACTGTGCATGTTAAGACATTGGCATTATTCCGAAAGTGTTACCGACAGAATCGAGGATTAATCTGTTTGCGTATTCAACTTTAACATAAATTTTCTCGCCTTTTGTGATATAAACATTGCCTCGAGTTGACAGCGAGGTCGCGTCATTCATTTTGTTATTAGTGACGTCATTTGTACATGATGTGTTAAATGATTTGAAAGTACTAAGAAGAGTACGCTCGTACCCTCCCCTGTTTGCACAAACATATAGAGCAAATCTGTACATTTTACCGAGGTTCACCATAGGTTTAGTTAGATTCATCATAACAGTTGTATAGATGAAATAAAATCCACCTTCGGACACTCTGATTTCTCCTTTATGGTATGCCACATCTTCAGATATGAAAGATCGCTCTGGGTGTTTGTCCCAGTGAATAATAGTTTCTGACTCTCTATCTATAATGTAAAAAATTATTGACTGGGAATCAAATCAGTAATAGAAAGAGCATCGAAACACGAGGCTATCTGATTTACAAGTACGAGGGGGCATCATAGTCAAACATAAAAACCCGTTCCCTGATACCACAATATGAAACCCCGGATAAAAAAGAACCAATCAACGAGCATCCGAATATGATATTTCTGTCGCTTTCCCTTTCTCTGCCGTCACAATAAGTACACATTTTCAACAGAAAGGTCCCCAAACTATGATACAATAATTATTCTATATGCTTTATGTTAAACTGTTGAGTAATCATCTACTTTTTTTAATTTGTGCGTACTAAGATGTTTCCTGCCACTAAAGTTTTGTCGTATCGCTGATGTCACCTTGAAAATTGTGTTATTTACATACATATTAAGTAAAAAGAAAACCTGTTTGTAAATTACTGTAAATCTATTCAATTATTTTTACTTTTACTTTCAGACTGTTTCATGCTTTTGAACTAGTAAACATAACAGTTCTTAAATGTTGGTAGGTTTTACTTTAAGATTTTTATTTAGTGAATTGGGAAAATTGAGTCATAATTTTATTTTTGTTAAATATATATATAATTACATGTAACACATACCACTGATATCCCTTTAAAGATAATAAAGATTAACAACTTGTTACGAGTCTGGATAATTAGGAATGCAAAAGCATGCAAAATAATTAATTGACAAGGTAGGCAATTTGTTTAATGTTTCGCTATTTACATATAAGTATTCGTTATCTTTATTAATGTTGAGACCATACCATGATCACCTTGATTGGATCAGATAGATAATAATGCAGATAACAAAATATGGAACCTTTTTTTGTTTGATGTTTTGACACACTTCTGAATGCCGCAATTCGATGACCCGACGGCTCTCTCAGACTCCTGTTGCCACATTGAAGATATCTTGTGCCTTCCTGTCCTAATTAGTACATACACAAAGAATGAGAAATATTATATAAACGTAGAGTTGTGTAAGAAATAGAAAGAGCATCGAAACACGAGGCTATCTGATTTGTACGAGGGGGCGGAGCCCCCGAGTATTAATCAGATTGCCAATTGTTTTGATGTTCTTTCTCTTTAGTAACATAATCAAACATAAAAACACGTTCCCTGTCGTCACAATATGAAACCCCGGAGAAAAGTAACCAATGAACGAGCATCTATATATGATTTTTCTGTCGCTTTTACTTTCTCTGCCGTCACAATAAGTAAACCCCAGCAAAAATGAGCCAATTAATGGGCATGCTCTGGAGTGCGGGTAACTAATACCTGCACTCCAGTTAACGCACGGTGCATGTATATGTATACGATTTAACTCGGACACATTTTAAACAGAAAGGTCCCCAAACTATGATACAATTGAAAATAATACCAGGAAAGAAAATGATTATAATTTCAAATGTTAAATTTATATGTACGAGATCATTAAACAATATTACATGCATAATTATGCATCAATATAATGTATACTTTTAAGGTAATGAGATAATACCTGTAGCAAGTCGATGTCTTGATATCCGCTCAACAACCTTTAAAAACGGAAATACTTGATAAAACTATCATTACAAAATTCTATATACAGCAACTACTATAAAATTAGAACATATGCATGATTGTTATAATAATGATAATAATAGCAATATTTGTAAGACTGACAAATCATGATAAACTAAAATGACGATACATTGAATACTTATCTTAATGCTTTACAGCAAAAAGAAAATGTCTTTCAATACACAGAAATTACCTTTTGAAATGGTTCCGTTAGGTTCCGAAAGCTACAAACGTATTTGTCGTCATGCAAATAAACATCAAAAAGTTTCTTTCTCATATTAAACGTAACAACATCTTCGTCAGGACTCAACGACAAATCGTTGCAGATAAATGGAAAGTTATGTAGTTCATTAGTTAAATATACAGATTTCAATAATATTTCATCAGCTGCCTTAAACTTATAGACACATATATTAATCCCGATTGTTAAAATACATGCAATCAACAGAAACAGAGTAATAATCGCTTCTGGGAGCATTATAAACGCGACATTTGTCAAACGTTTTCGTACACTTAATGAAGATAATATTCAAATTGCACTGCGGTACATCTACTATCTGAATTTGCAGACATCAAATCGCTACACTACAAGATAGTAGTATGCAAACATATTACGCAGATATTCAATATATATATTTTCCTGTAAATGTACTATCTCTGATTATGTTTTAAACTTTTTCAAGGTCGTAACCCACTTGAAGAGTAAAGGCCAAATATCTCTTTATAGATATGGAATTTTTTCAAGATCATAAAACACTTAGTTAATTGTGTAAATTGTCCGCTAAAGGACTATGAATAACGGTATTACGAGTATTAGACCATGTAAATGCATTTCGTCCTGAGTCACGCATATGCAACAACGTTAACGGCTGTGGTGTTCGCCTGTGTGCGCAGTTTTTATGCAAGAATATTCTTTATTACAAACTATGGTAAATGTATTAGAACAACATAAGAATTCATTTTAAATTCGACAATATGTGTGAGTAATATAACAAATAAGAAAAGATCACCTTGGAAAAAAGTGTAAAAGTACTCGTTGAATATATTGTGTAATTGACGAAATCACGCCTTTGTAATTCAAAGCAGGTGAGGGATGTGGACAAATATAACCACGCCGTCGGTTACCGTTAAATTGATATGCAGATTTTACAAGTTTATAAATACAATGATTTAAAAATAGATTTTTTTCTGTAAAGTTCATAGATGCAACCAATTGAAGGGACACAATTTACGTAAACTATGCAATTTTGAAGTTGACAGTTATCCGCACAGTATACCAAGTATTGAATGAAATATGTCATAATGTAGATTTAACTGATCGTTCTGCGATAGACTCTCTTTTATTAGGCTTTAACAATGTGATACAAGAAATTGCGAATCCGTTATTTTGTAAGAATTATAGTATACATAATCAGCTTACATTTATTGATAAATGTTTTGTTAAGGATAAGGAGTGGTTTGATTATGATTGTTTACAAGCTGGTTATTGTAAAAAATGGAGCTTAGAAGCAAATATCGATAAAACCAAAGTTGTTGTTTTCAGAAATCTTGAAGGTTAAAAAACAATGAATTATTTTATTACGAAGGGAAACATTTATATTGTCGATAGCTTCAATTACTTAGGAACAATATTTACTTATACTGGTAGTTTTAGTTTAAATCAAGAACAATTGATTGGTAAAGCCCATAAAGCTCTAAATGTACAACTGGTTAATAGATATCAGTTAAAATCTAAAGAGTTATGTCAGCTTTTTGACTCTTTTGTTGGTTCAATTATAAATTACGCTGCTGAAATCTGGGGTTTTACTAAATCTAAGGAAATTGAAAGACTTCGTCTTAACTTTTGTAAAAAGATATTAAATGTTAAAATTAATTCATGTAATGTTGCTGTGTATGGTGAACTAGCACGTTATCCTTTATTCCAAGATATGTTAAGATTTTAAGATTTTGGTTTAAAATGCTTGAGACAGATAATATAATTCTTAAAAATGTATATAACATTGCTCTTGAAAACTGTTATTATAGTAAGAAAAGATGGTTATCAAATTTTAAATTGTTATTATGTTATCATGATTTTAGTGATGTTTGGGATTTTCCAGATTCCGTAAATATTAAAATATTTTTACCAATATTTAAGCAAAGGGTATTTGATTGTTTTATTTTTACAAAGTTGGCTTCCTGGTAAAGAGAGCAGTCCTGTTTTGTATCTGTATTATCATGTTAAAGAGTCTTTTGTATATGAAAATTATCTTGATATAATTAATACCAATACTTTAAGGAAGTATCTTACAAGAATTAGAATATCTTCGCATTCATTACATGTGCAAACTGGTAGGTTTCATAGAAATAGAATTGTTAGAAATGAAAGATATTGTTTATATTGTAATCTACATGACGTCGAAGATGAATACCATTTCATTTTAATTTGTCCTTCACTGATATGTTAAAATCAAACAATAGAAGTATACTTTTAAATTTATCCCTGTATGTATGAGATGCGATGTTTCATAGAAATAACTTAGATATAGTATTCGTAGATACAACTTAAGACTCAATCAAACCATATTGCGATATTTGAGAATAATCACCTCGATAAGATATAGTATTCGTAGATACAACTTAAGACTCAATCAAACCATATGGCGATATTTGAGAATAATCATTTAATATGTTCTTTTTAAGAAATTTTAAAACGATGAATTAATTTTAAACCAGGTTGGCATGTGACTAAGCAAAATACAACAGACAGTAAACTTTCGGCAAACTATCGTGGAAGTGTTTGTTTCGGAATTAAAAAAGAATGGATACAATACTAAAAGTTGGTGTGGTAAGCTTACTGTGCGCTTTGGTTACCACTCTCCCCGTTCTAATGTATCTAATAACAACGAGAGAATTGCCACAGAATGATATGTGTGAACTATATATAACCAGAAGATTTCAATGTGAACCCCAAAAAGACTTGAAGGAAGTAGGTTAAGTTTATTTCATTTTTATGTTTGAAAATTCTGTTTTTATCCAGTAATCAATGGAATAATTGATGGACATAAAGTTGGTCAGTCCTATGATTTGAAGTACTGAATTATCTGGGATATATATATATTCCTGATCAAATTAAAGTGTAACGATCTAGAACAAATGTTTAAATAATGCCAATAAATATATTGCAAAGGTATGTTTTTTGTCTATGCTATAGTATATTAAAAGTATAAAAAGCATTAGTAATATCACTGATTTATCGTTTGCTTTAAACAGTGCACATTTCACCCCGGGTACATAAAATGTACAGAAAAACAACTTTAAGATCCTGTATGTTGTAATTGAGGTTGCTTACCAGAATTAAGTGAAATCATATAGGTATATGTATATAATTATGCTTATAAAACAATTCTCAAACATCGAATAATATGTAAAATATGTACTGCAAATATTTACATATTATATGTAATGCATTCATTTCTTATTGAAAAATTTGACTTAGAATTTGTAGAAAATAAATTTTTTATTACCTTTCTTTATTTACATGAAATATTAAATTCGGTAATATCTTTATAAATAATGTTTTTTGAACTTAAAAAAAATGATAAATCTTAATTTGAGCATAATATTTATGATATAAAACCATAAAAATTGTGTTACAGGATCTTTAATTATAGTTAACATAAATAAATTGCAGCGAATAAAGATGCCAAACAATTACACTGCTTAAAATTTATTCATAATATTCACATCAAGCTGTGCATTATAAATATATATAGAGAGGAAAGCGTTATGAAAGTTTAAATACATCTATATTTATTTTTATTATCTAGGGATTGTCGGAGATGCTTGACAGGCGTGAAATTATAAGACGTACAGAAGAATATCGGACACAAGAAACCCTTTACATGCAAAAGCCTTTTCTGAAACTCATTGGAACAGAGTTGATAAATGAAAAAAGTACAAATTTAGTACATTTTTATTAGCTGGACATTTTTTATAGTCATGTCAGCGTTTCCTCGCACGGTGCCGTTGCCGTCCGCAAACTTGAGCATTGATCATAATTTTTTCTTGTTGTATTGTCCTTGATTGTCAAGTTCAAATTAATGTAATTCTAATGTAAATTAAATATCAGCTGACCTAAATTTTAACAAAGTGACATATTTCATTGCCTTTAATTGACTAACTTTAAAATTTAGACCACGCACACAGATGTGAAAATGAACTTTGATATCAGCTGGTCTTGATTTTGACAAAGTGACTTTCCTTCTTGTCCTTTGATGTATAGCTATTAAGTTTGGATAATGCGCACAGTTTTAGAAGTTAATTTGAAATTAGATATCAGCTGACCAAGATTTTGAGAAGTGACCTTCTTTCTTGTCTTGATGTACAGCTATGAAATTCAGAACATGTGCACAACTGAACTTTGGTATCAGTTGACATAGATTTTGACCTAGTGACATATTTGACTTTTTGTACAAAGCGTGATGACATTTTGACCATGTGCACAGTGTAAAGTGCAGAAGCAGATGACCTAAATATTGGCCTAGTGTCATACTTCCTTGCTTATTTGGTGTACAACTATGAAATACCATGTATTCAAATGCATGTAATCAATACTAGATTTGACTGCTTTCAATGTCTCCCTTGTTTAATTATGATTTAACTTCATATTTAGATACAACAGAAGAACTCAAATAGAACTTAATAGAACTCAAATCGACGTTTATTTATTTATGACCTTGACCATGAAGGTTTTTGCTATAATTGGCTGTAACTTTGTAATTTATTAATGAATTATTTTCATACTTTGACAAAACAACCCCTTAACCTAAAAAGTTGAACTGACCTTAACTTGAGCATTAAATGACCTTAACTGCCAAGGTTAAATTATCCGTATTGTTTTTTGTTTATGTTGTCATAATTTTGTTATCTATGTACGTATTTAATTTATACACTAGACAGACATGTTGAATAATTTAGGTATGACCTTTAGCTTTAAATCACCTTAACCATCAAGGTCAAATAATGATTTTTTCTTGTATTTTATTTAATTGTATTTATTTAAATAATTCATACTTGAAGGAAAAACAAAAAGTTGCCGACCTATTGAAATTTAAAAAAGGGAATGTTTTTAATTTTCTTTTTAAAGATTTATTTAAACCTTTTGTTTTCTTTTAGAAAAAGCAAAAAAATAATCGAGCATTGCCACACTCGTTGGTGGCTCTTTTTAAAGTTAAATTTGTGCTCTTCTATTTTCATATCATATAATTAAAAAAATTATTTAAATATAATTAAAAAATACTTCATTGGAACCAATCGTATACAATCGCTGTCATATGAAATTTTCAATACATCGATAAATATTTTAATATAGTCAATAGAAATGTTGTGTAATATCTCATGGTAAATTCCCGAAAACAAATCATTGTACCGTTTCATTTTCTTTTGTTTCTTTTTCCCCTTGAGAAGACGAGAGAGGAGGAGTGAGCGGGATGACGATCATAACAGACTGGCAATATGACAAAGATATGTTTGAGAATAATGAAATATCTAGTAACATAAAATACACAAGTGGGTATATGACAGTTCCTGATAAAGGTCATTATTTCGTTCATTCGTCTATTGAATTAGTGGTACCACCTCACTTAGTAAGTGGTATGGATTTCACAGTACAAATCAAACACAGTATATTTCGTACATGCATCCTTGGGAAAGAGGACCTAGAGATTACCTCAAACATTCAAACATATCTGGTAACAGACAATGAAAGCTTGTACATCGGTAGAAGTCAAGTATCTTCATTAGTCAAAATGGAGGCACGAGACAAGATTTCTATAAGATTAAGTAACATCACATTTTTCCACAACTCAAAAAATAATGAATTTGCCGTTAGATTAGTTTAGTATATTTAGGGTAATAATATATTAAATAATGAATTTCTGGTCAAGTTACTGTTAGCTCAACACATTTAGAGTCATTCTATCCTGAGACTTTTTTGAGATATTACAGTAATATTTAACATTTATACACAAGTTGTGACACGCCAAAAGGAATACTACAAGTTATGAATGTTTTGTGAAAGACCAGTTTTTTTTTTTTTTTCAAATTTGTTTTGATGTTCTTTATTTTGAAATTCATATATTTTCTTACTCAGTCATCCCTGGATACGAATGACGGGCAACTTTGATCTTTTTCTATAGAAAAACATTGTTAATCACAGATGATGCGTATGACCGGAAAGATTATGAGATTCTGACACATTGTTTGGTATAATACTGAATTTTATTTGAAGAGTTCACAGCTGTAAAACTTATAATTGATGGAGCTAGAACACACAGCTGTGTACTCGTTCAATAGAATCAATATTGTACTTAACAATGTATTCGACAATGTATAATGACCTTTATATTAAATACGGCCAATTAATAAAGTTTTGACAAAGTTTATTTTACCTTGAGTACAATTTTAGATTTAATGTGTATTTTTATGAAAACAAGATAGATGTAGTTCAATATAATTTTAATATGGAGTTTACGACTCAGAAAATGAAACCAAGGCTAATTTAGTAAGATCTGATCCAAATAATGGTTTCTATTGGAACCCATCGCGGTGTAAACGTCGGTAGTTTACTTGTTACATTTAATCTAAATTACATTTTATTGCTTTCGTCACTAGATCTACTGTGCCTTAATATGTTTTTGTTTGTTTGTTTGTCTGTTTGTTTGTTGTTTTTGTATATTGAAAACAAAATAATCGAGGAACTGTTTCTTAGATCGTGTAGTTTATTAAGCAAATAAGTCAATATTAAAATTAGAATTATGCATAAATAAGGAAAACAACGCATATATATGCACTACGGTAATATGTGCTGTGTAGTTATCTCTCTTAGTAACAAAGAAATGTTGTCTCTTTTAACTATACATTGTTTTTATGGTCTTTCTATATGTGTTTTATACGTATGTACATTTTTAGATGAAACGGAAGAAAAATCTTTAGTATTTCATACTGTATATCACACATTTAATATTTGATATTTTACATAAGCAAGGAATAAATCTCCATCTTTTGTCACAATATAAAATAACATATTAATGGCTTTATTGGTGGTTTCCATTTTACTCCACGCTTAATATATAGTACCTACCATATGTCCTCATTGTATTTTAACATGTATTTTTATAAATGTCAGACAAATTAATATTCTATGTTTATTTATAGGCCGGTGCGGCTTAATTGTGTTTTTTATTAAATCGGTGAGAAAAATAATTGTATGTAAAATAAACATCGAAAACTTTGTTTTCATGTTATCCTGAAACAGATCAATTTTAACTAACATATTCTGACATTAAAGATTGAAAATGTAATTGTTTGTGTATTTACTTCAAACATGGTATGACTGAGTTTCTTAATGATAATGAAATGTGTACCATCTATGATCCTTTTTATTGATTGGTGTTTACAACATTGATCCTTCTTTGAAAAATATTTTTGATGTAATTGTATTTTTGTTGTTATTGCAATTATATTTTTGATGTAATTGTATTTTTGTTGTTATTGCAATCATTAACATTTCCACATGGGTCACAGGTTAGATCCTCGAGCGAGGCAAACTTTGTCATTGACAATCGAGTATATTGGTAATTTGTCTCTCGTCGCTGATTCAAAAATCATGTTGATTAAAAGTCAGTAACTTGCGGCGAAATTGGAAATTACTTGTATGTCAGGAAAGCCGGTGAGGTGGATCGTCCGCCAAGATATGACCAAAAATGTGTTAAAATAAGCGTGAAAACCTGGCAAACAAACAAACTTTGTAACGAATAATATTCCTTGACAATGTGCTGCAGAGCCTAATATTCCATAATAATGTGAAATATATTTCTAAGAACCTTGAATTTATCAGTTAACAAACAATAGTGTTTAAACATTACAAATTTATTAACTATAGTAATAACAAATGAAACCAAAAAAGAACAATCAGGTTTTATATAAATATCAAAATACTTTCAAAGGAATATTTTCAGTCCATCAGCAGTAAATAAACTTTCAAAACGACATAAAGGCTGACTATGCTTCCAGAACTTTGATACTGTAAACTTTTATACATGATTAGAGGCGTTTGAGCAAAATATTTTGATATATTTACAAAGTAAATAACAGGAACAGATATACAATGTGTACGATATTGAAAAATAAAAGAAGTCTAGCTTGTCATAATTGACACATATCAACCTTTTATATGACTAATTATTAATTAATACTAATATAAGATAATAAACGAGTATATCACAAATTCACATAAATTTAGCTGCTTCCATGGCTTCCTTTCCATGCATTATCATAAACTGGGCAGCTATCACATCCTCTCTCAATAACCCCTACTGTATCCTTGATTGATGAAAAATCATTAATGTCTTTACCTAAACGTTGTTTAAAGTAGCGGCACTTATGCTAAAAATGAAAAAAATTTAATTTAACCATATCAATTGCAAGACAATTATATTATATTTTTGTAACCTACAACATGAATTAAAAACTTAAAAATAAGTGGTATATATTTGTGTTAAGTGTTGATCAGCATTGTAAGTAAAAACCACCCCTAATACACTCGTTATGTAAATGTGTACTGTAAATACACGTTATGTTATCACAACAGTTCTATTCCAATTTATTTTTATCTAACGTTTTACCTATGACAAAAGTGATAGATATGAAATGGTAATAATAGGAATACCAGTACCTGCATCTTATATTTCACTAGAATAGATTAACACTATGTTTTTAGGTGTCTTTATCTTTTTCTATCACAAATACATACATACATTAATGCAACTCTGATCATTATGTACGCCAAAAATAAAAACTCTTATCATTATTTAAACCCAAAACAAACACATATGCGTAAACAACTTTTACAGAATATCTTTTCACGTATACGTCTTTTATACGAATCAAACAAAATAATAAAATCGCCACAAAACAAAGAACACAAAATGAGTTATTTTACAACTCCTAGATACAGTTTAAACAACAAACATTCAACCGAAAGTATTAACTTCTTATCAGCATCAGAAACAAAACCAAAACAGCTAATAATTACAGATATCTTTAAAACCAAAGCATCAACTATAAGAATCCTGAGAAGACAACCAAATATTTCTTACCAAACAAATATAACTTGATAACCAAATAAAATACAACAATCAACTAAATTCAAGCAATGGACCCTGAGCAATTATATATACATGTTGTATAGTTTAATGTTTCGTCTTTTTAATTGATTTACTTAAAGTGACATTATGCTGATTATTTTTCTTCTTTTTTCATGTTGTCAGTGAGCTGAATTGACTATATTTCAATAGCTTGACTGTTAAAAGTGGTGATTGGCTAACAATTAATATAAAAATCTGTTTAGGATAAAATATAAGTTTTATAAATCGAATGTTACAGGCAAATCGTGACACTTCCATGGACCATGTAATTTATTTATCGCCCATGCGCAGTAAATTACTCTGTGTGCCTTTTTGCCAAATATTCATTTCACTCTCATTCACTAATTGTCTATAACAAGATCGCAATCTTCTATCAAAATAAAAGAAACCATGGTCATAACCGTTGTAATCAAATTGTTATCTAACAAAGAATAAATCTCTTAAGCCTGCCATTTATTTAAGAACCATTAAATATATGTGTTGTTAAAAAAAACAAAGCAGTCTTAGGGACGATTATACCATCTACAGCAGTAGATCTTTTAAACCTTTGACCTACGATTAAGTTTGACATCGACTTTTAAACTATCAACCTGTTTTTTGAGCTCTTTGGGTCGTCTCGTATTGATGATCATTTGTGCAAAAAAAAAACAGAAATCTATGGTTTAAACTTTATGGGGCGGACATAAATGCGGACTTCTTGTATCTGAGCTTTCAGTGTGACATTGACCTTAGAGACAGCGACCACATTGTTGCGCTCTGCACATCTTCCTATAACGGTTATCATTTGTGCCAAAACCAAAAGCAAGGCATTTCTCTAAATCACCGATAGCTCCGCCCTTTTGCTCTACAAGATGTCTACACCTTGTCAATTTTTTAACATGTCACATTTTAATATGATAAGCTAAATAAATGGCCCTTTCAACATATAATCAAGCACATTTTTTACTGAAATGTCACAGAATTTATACCTTTATCTACAATAAGGCCGCGTCTACACCTATTCAAGTTTTTTACATGTCACATTTAGATAAGCTAAATAAATGGCCCTTACAACATATAATCAGGCACAATTTTTAATGAAATGTCTTATTAAGATTGCCCAGGATTTATACCTTTGTCTTTGCAATACTATCATGTTTCTGTAAAATGTGTGAATAAAAAGGCGGGAAAATGATGCAATTAGCTAAAATAATGGAGTAAATGTTATGCGCTATGGAAAATGTGAGAAAAAAATACATTTTGATGCAAATTCTTTATTTGATGAAAACTATTCACTAAATGAACAAGGTTATTTAAAATCCATTTTGACTCTCTTTGTAAAACAGATCTTTTTTATATTTTATTTTTCAAATTAATATATTATTTATATATTTTTGCTCTTCTTTGTATCAGGTAATGTACACTGAATTAACAACAAAAAAGTAAAAAATAATTCAATAAACAGCACTATCACACGTTTGGGCACATGTTTTGTGTCAAACTGGTGTTATCAGTGTCTTACAGCCAAAAACTTGTAGAAAAATAGAACCTGTTCTAATTTTCTTGCAAGAAATTATCTTCATGGATGTCACATAATTTCTCGTTAAAAACCATTCAAGTAGGGTGTCTACATTAGGCCGTGTCTACACCTACTCAAGTTTCTTACATGTCACATTTAGATAAGCTAAATACATGGCCCTTTCAACATTTTTTCAGGCACAATTTTTACTGAAATGTCTCATTAAGATAGCCCAGGATTTATACCTTTGTCTTTGCAATACCATCATGTTTCTGTAAAATATGTGAAAAAAAGCGGAAAAATGATGCAATTAGCTAAAACAGAATGGAGTAAAATTGAAAAAAATGTGACAAAAATTTATTTAGCTGCAAATTCTTTATTCGATGAAAGTTATTCACTAAATGAACAAGATCATTTTAAATCCATTTTGACTCTACTTAAAAAAGAGCTCTTTTTCATTTTTTTACGATGTATTTATTTTTATTTATTTTATTTTTTTTTTGCTTTTCTGTGTATCAGCGTATTGATTTGTTCCTTTGACCAAGACATTGTAATCATTTACTGAAATTCAAAGGACATGTACACTGAATCAACAACAAAAAGTCAGAAAATAATAAAAATAACAGCACTATCAAACCTTCGGGCACATGTTTTGTGTCAAACCGGTGTTATCAGTGTCTTGACAGCCAAAAACTTGTAGAAAAATAGAACGTGTTCTAACTTTCTTGCAAGAAATTATCTTCATGGATGTCACATAATTTCTCGTTAAAAACCATTCAAGTAGGGTGTCTACACTATCCAACTCAAGAGAATATGATACTTGCATTCAAGACTTGGATATGTGTAGACGGGCACTTAGGCCGTGTCTACACCTATTCAAGTTTCTTACATGTCACATTTAGATAAGCTAAATAAATGGCCCTTTCAACATTTTTTCAGGCACAATTTTTACTGAAATGTCTCATTAAGATAGCCCAGGATTTATACCTTTGTCTTTGCAATACTATCATGTTTCTGTAAAATATGTGAAAAAAAGCGGGAAAATGATGCAATTAGCTAAAACAATGGAGTAAATGAAATGCGTACATTCTTTTAAAAATTGAAAAAATGTGACAAAAATTTATTTTGATGCAAATTCTTTATTTGATGAAAGTTATTCACTAAATGAACAAGATCATTTTAAATCCATTTTGACTCTACTTGAAAAAGAGCTCTTTTTTATTTTTTTTACAATGTATTTATTTATTTATTTATTTATTTTTTGCTCTTCTGTGTATCAGCGTATTGATTTGTTCCTTTGACCAAGACATTGTAAACATTTACTGAAATTCAAAGGGCATGTACACTGAATCAACAACAAAAAGTCAGAAAATAATAAAAATAACAGCACTATCAAACCTTCGGGCACATGTTTTGTGTCAAACTGGTGTTATCAGTGTCTTGACAGCCAAAAACTTGTAGAAAAATAGAACCTGTTCTAATTTTCTTGCAAGAAATTATCTTCATGGATGTCACATAATTTCTCTTTAAAAACCATTCAAGTAGGGTGTCTACACTATCCAATACAAGAGAATATGATACTTGCATTCAAGACTTGGATAGGTGTAGACAGGGCCTTAGGCCGTGTCTACACCTATTCAACTTTCTTAAATGTCACATTTAGATAAGCTAAATAAATGGCCCTTACAACATATAATCAGGCACAATTGTTACTGAAATGTCTTATTAAGATTGCCCAGGATTTATACGTTTGTCTTTGCAATACTATCATGTTTCCGTAAAATGTGTTAATAAAAAAAGCGGGAAATGATGCAATTAGCTAAAACAATGACAATGAATGAATGAAATGCGTACATTCTTTAAAAAAATGGAAATGTGAGAAAAAATACATTTTGATGCAAATTTTTCAAGATCATTTAAAAATCCATTTTGACTCTCTTTGAAAAACAGATCTTTTTTATTTCTTTTTAATTTGTTAATTTATTTATTTATTTTTGCTCTTTTGAATCTGTGTATTGATATGTTCCTTTGACCAAGACATTGAAAACATTTACTGAAATTTACAGGTCATGTACACTGAATCAACAACAAAAAAGTCAGAAAATAATAAAATAAACAGCACTATCACACATTTGGGCACATGTTTTGTGTCAAACTGGTGTTATCAGTGTCATGACAGGAAAAAACTTGTAGAAAAATAGAACCTGTTCTAATTTTCTTGCAAGAAATTTTCTTCTTGGATGTCGCATAATTTCTCTTTAAAAACCATTCAAGTAGGGTGTCTACACTATCCAATACAAAAGAATATGATACTTGCATTCAAGACTTGGATAGGTGTAGACGCGGCCTTATCTAATACAAGAGAATATAATACTTGCATTCATTCATGACTTGAATAGGTGTAGACACGGCCTAAGACTATCATGTTTCTATAAAATATCTGGAAAAAAAACAGCGAGGAAAATGATGCAATTAGGTAATAACGATGGAGTTGATGAAATGTGCACATCCTTTGAAAATAAATGAAAATGTGAGAAAAATACATTAGAGGTTATTAATTGATACAAATTCGTTATTAGCTTCAAGTTATTCACTAACATTTAAAATCCCTATTAATTTGCTCATTTGAAAAACAGTTCTTTTTTTGTGCCAATTTAGGTTTACAGGTGGAGGGGGTCCATTTTCAATGAGATTTCAAACCAAAAAGTATAATCATTGTATTCTTAATATCAATGATTGTTAATGCAGTTCATTCCTATCAAGTGAAAGAAAATAATGTTTTGGTTTCTTTTTCTAGAAAATATAAAGTTTAAAACAGTCAGCAATTTATAACAGACATTTTTCTTAGATATAAAAGGATATAAAAAAGTTACTATGTAATCATTTGTCTCTGCGTGCTCCTCATGTATTACCTATGTAATAAATTTATTGATTTTAACCTCTCATTTAGAAAAATAAAAATAATGGCTACACGAACTTGGCAAGTATCTAAACTGTAACCGAAATCTGGGTATAAACTGTAACAAAATTGGATCAAAGTCGCTAGGTCTATGCTGTAACCCTTCAAAATAAACCTCGCTCTATACTGTAACATTGTTTATTTTTTCAAACGGATTTTACCAACAGGAAAATAGGTTCAACTGGTCATTTAATTTTATAAACGTTTCTAAAGAAAAAGGACTAACGTTTTGCAGATTTACTTTTTCTAGGCATGCAAAAATAATGTCAGAATGGGAGAAAAATGCGTTGGTCTCTCGAATCAAATTTTCAAACTGTCAAATCTGCACATTTATGAGACAATATAGAGATAAATCTGCGGTGCAGAGTCTGAAGAAATATATGACTAGATACCGGATTCTGTTCCTTACAAGCAAAGCACAAAAACAACTTTTAGAAACTAAACTACTAGTAGTATGGACCTGAATAAAAATCACCTACCTCTCTTCCCAAAAATAATCCTCCATCTTGAAAATTCTATACTGTAACCGAAAAACGCGATAATGTAACACGTTCCATACGGTGGAAATATCGCTACAATACGTTATGTATTGGACTCTCTCCGAGAAATATGTCGCGATGTCAGCGACGTCATTCGCGCAGTTAACGTCGCTGTGATGTCTTATCACATTCTTAGCTTTTCAAAAACTTTTATTAGGATTTTTCAACACCAAAATAGTTACTTACTTTTATCATGCTTAAGTATTTCGTCAGCATACGATGCGCAGTTCCTGCGCTCAAATAAGCAATTTCGGCAAGCTCCCGCACCTTTAAACGCCTATCCGTATCAAGCGCTAACTGAATTGACGCGACGCTTGACGCTTTCACGGACTTTTTTTCTGCCGGACCATGTTCGTCATTCAAGGATGTGTATCCCTCGGAAAACTTTTGTGTCATCTTAACACTAACGTACGACAAACACTGTCTTTCCCCTGAGCCTCTTGCAACATTGTAAATGTTTCCGTCGCCGATTTGCCTAAATGCAAGCAGAACTTAATGTTCGCCCGCATTTCGGACGTTCTTGCGTCATAATCTTCACGTGACAACGTCAGAGCAACCATGAAATGAGCATAATTTCTATGTCGCGTTATATTTTTTTCTACCAATGCCGGTAATCTGATCAAGAATAAGTTATATTTAATAATGATACAACATTTTGTTATATTTCATGTTAGAATAAAAATATGTGAGGAAAATCTCATTATATATTGAACAGCCCTCGTATATGGCAATCTATAACATTAAGCATGCATAATCTAAGTTGCTGACACGTTTTTTTTGCTCGTCTGGATTGATTCAGTGGATAAGTATGCATATGATGTCATGGGGCATTGAGCGCAACATTTAAGAACAATTTTTATGTTGAACTAACCTATTCAGGAATAGCACGTGCTTTTACGCAGATATTGAGAGAGTACATTAAAGAAACAATTCTAGATAAGTCACTGCGGCAATTGAGTGTACAGTTGTAGCAGAATCCAACATTTACACCGTATATATCCCGAAATGCAGGAATGTTAATATGACGCAAACATTGAAAAAGTGACGCCAGTTTGTGCTATTTGTAGCAGAATAAGCAAAACCATATTACGGATTATACACGGTGATTCCAAAACTTCATAATCGTATGGTAGAGTTAATGACAGTAATAATTTGACATTATTTGCAAAATAAAGTTTGTTTGGTTATATTATCCATGGAAACGAACAATTTGGCTAACAATCAGAGTCAATTTTAGAATATCCAATGACAAACAGATAAAAACTGCCAACATTCAGTTTCAAAAAAAAAGACGTATATAATAGTATATGAATAAAGTACGTTTTCCATTTATAATTATCAGTGCACTTTTGCAAATGAACATGTTTATGCTCTACAACAACAACAGATATAATTATAATAATTTTGTTATAAGACGACTTAAAATATTTCAGTCATACGACCTCTGAATTAATCTTATTGATTATAAATTATAATATAAGATGACATTTCAACAAACATTCATCTTATTTCAAAAGTTATCATTATTGGCCTTTTTTAAACTATTTCAGTAAGCCGCACAAAAACTATATTTAGCTTTTTAAACCCCCCTTTGAAACCAGACCAAGTAGCACTGTATAATAAATCATATAAACCACACTCTATCTCAGAAACAAGTGTGCGTTAACGGTTAAACATTGACAATGGATAAATTACTAAAAACTCTTTCCATGGTTGTTCTTTTATGTGCCGTGTCCTGTCTTATAGCAGTCTTGGCTTTAGTGTTGACAATGCATGATTTACCAAACACAGTTAAAACTGGTGAAATATGTTTACCTAGTGAAAATGGTCCGCTCAAATGTGGATCAACTGTTGACTTACTACATGATTATCTTGAACGGGTAATGTTTTGACTTTTTATTCTTTCCTTTACATATTCAAATACACTTAAACTTTAACATTAAATTAGATTTAGCAGATATCGCATCTTGTTCTGATAAGACTAAATTAAATTTTTATTTAAATAAAAATTATTATATAAAAAAAACTTAAATAGTTTAACACTTTGTCACAAAAATATGTTGTTGTTACTGTAATCCTTCTCATTGGTCGAATAACTGTACTCCAAAATGGATTTAAATATACACATCGGGACTAGCAACTTAATGTATTAACCGATTGCTGAAGATGACGATAGTAATTGCTTTATGAATGATATTCTTAAATTTCATTTTGTGCTTTAGATGTTTGTATGTGTTTCCAAAGATACAAACAGATATGGCAAACGAGATAACGAAATAGGTTTAAGTTATGTTTCTCTAACTACGGATACTTAATGTATTTACTAAGAAATAAAATATTTTCATAGAAATAAAGAATTTTCCTCGCGCTAGCTTGGAAAAAAATTATTCTATAAATGATTGGTGGTGATATTAAGGTTTAACATGCCTATTGCAGAATCTCCTGAACAGTATTTATTTTCAGCCTACGTGGAGCATTGATTTACACCCTACGATTGACCAAAGTCTTGTTTTCTTTTTCTTTCTTTTTTGTACTTTTTTTTACTTGTCAGATTATGAGATTTTTTTTTGGTGATTTCGTAATTTTTTTTTTAAATCTTGAATTAAGAAATATTTGAAAATTGATAAGTACTATTTAATGTTAAGTGAGTAAAATTAAGGTAGTTTACATCTTGAAACGTTTATATTTTCAATTCAGTATGGTAAACCTCCCTTATGTTTGGCACTTATGTTCAGAATTACTTATGTTCAGAATTGATAATTATTATATGAAGATATAACGATGCCCTATTAACAGCTTGTTTTCGGAACGTACGTTCGTTCTGACTTTTACAAGTACAGTACCGTTTAGTCCAAATTATCATCGGAGGACACTCATTTTTCACTTTGTTGTTGTTTTTCTCTACGACTGTTTTATCTTAAATCGTCAATTTTTTTCATGTATGATGGTAAACGTTTTTCTTGTACTTTGGTAAAGAATGAGATAAAGTTTCAGTTTTATTATGTAATTTTTAGATGACTTTTGAAACATTCTAGTTCATTCGTTATCTTATAATTTAATAAACACTCATATACATCGATTATATCTAATCTCCCAAAATTTATTTATCAATTTAAATCAACTCTATGGGACTGTGTCTCCGGCTTTAGTCCACCTTCGTCTCTAGACACCTTACATTTCAGCACTTGTGAATCCTTCTTCGGATCAGCTTCACTGATAATTAGATGTCTTCGACACAGACAGCTATGTAATACTACTTACACAGTTGAGAAAACAGAATCCATAAAGAAAGCCCAACACGGCAAATTTGACAATGTTGCAAGCTCTGTTTGATTGAGCCTATTCATGGACGGTTCTGGAAAGTGCAAATTACCGTCCACGCCCGCTAGCACCGGCTTAAGCATAATTCAACATTTAAACATGAAAATGGTGAAATTTTGAATTTAGAACATCCGCAGATGTGTTCATACGACGAATATCATGGAACCTTCAATGTGACACAGTAGTGCCATTCCATGAAAAGCGGCGTATGGTCCCAAAGTAAAAGAATGCGTGTGCCATTAACGTGAACACAATGGGTGGAACTAAATAAAATAGAATTTTGATAGGGGATATGAGGTTATGAAGCCTGCATATCACAGATAATACGTCAAAAGAAAAATTTAAAAAGCAGGCAACATGAGAGACGGAACACATGGAGCGTTATCTCCTTCATACGATAACCTATGGTGATAATAAATCTTCTATGACACAGGCTGATATCTTATACTACCTTCTTTCTTTCACCGGACACTGAGCATGGTTCAATAATGCAACTGCCCTAAGGTCCACGCAATATTACCTTTCGATGTTGTCTATTCAAAATTCCAAACAGATCCAATTTTTCAGCTGTTCTACTACCCTTTATAAGTATGCTACCTGTCAACTCAAAGCTAATTGGCCAAATTGGCATGGGTTATTCCATTAACTGGATCAATCCATTTTCAATTTAATGTTGCCTTACAGGGCTGTAATGTTAAAAATGTTTCTAAAACAGCATTTACTTTCATTGAATACTGTGTAATTTTACTTTTAATTAACGGTACTCTGTATTCAAAATGAATCGTTTTCCTTCCCAAAGAAGTTCACATTTATTAAACAGACAGCAACCAATTGTTAAAACGTTGAAGAATACACATAATATGCCCTCATGGTTTTTTTTATTTACCCATTGTCACGATAGTTGTTATTTTAACTTTAACATGTGTGTACTTAAAATAAGTCTGACTCACACTGAACATTACTTCTTAATATAACCTACAGATCATATTGAGAAATTGTGACCACATTTCTTTTTTTCACTTACTAGTAAGTCACTGCAATGAGTAACTGAAAATACCACCACTTCCTGTGTAGTTAATATATTCTATTTCAGTTCTTTAAACCAAACCAATACACGTGCCATTTATCGTTTTATACACGAGTCAAATAATCGAATTAATCGAAGTACTTAAATATGTTTATTATGCTATTTGTAAATCAAATGTATATATGCTTGCATATTTATTCAACAGAACATTGCCACGCAGTATTATGAAGCAAAAAGGCAAGATAAAAAGAAACGGCAGAATTACCTTGACCGTTTAATTAATGTTTATGACAAATATTTCTGGGAAATGATACCAGCTGCAAAACTCACCGGAAAGGAACAACCGGATTTGCGAAAAAGTATGCCTTGTTTTTTGTTGTTTTCTTTTCTTCTTTTTGTCCTATCTTTAATTTGTTATGAGATTAATTTTAAAACTGAAATTAATTATTAATCACAATAAATCTAAAATAAATTTCATTCGTAATTGATTATTTACTTTTATTTTACAGCTCATATCGGTGTTGAAATGGTTCAAATAAGACAGTGGTGTAACGGTAGAGAACTTTATGATACAAAAGGCTTTATGAGACATGGAATTAGATACAGAAATGGTCGACTAGTTGTTCCAGTAGATGGCACATATTTCATTTACTCTAATCTGGACTTTTTCGAGTCCTGCAATCCTTCATCTGGTTTACCAGATGTCAAAGATATCAATAAACCAATTAAACACGGTATTTTTAAGTTCAATATTCTTGACGGAGAGGAAAACGAATTAGTATCAAATGTACAACCACATACTATCTCTACCAACCGATACTACAATTCATACAATAGTTATGTTTCATCACTGGCAGAACTAAAAGCTGGTGATGAACTTTCTGTTAAAGTTAGCAATATTACATATATAAGATACACAAAGGACAATTATTTTGGAGTAAATCTAATATGACGCTATCCTCGCCCTGGGGAACACGTGCACGTCGTGGTGGGGGCACAATACGTCAATTTCAGTACATTATACGCTGCACATTACGTGTTGACCAATTGCCCTTTAACTCTACAAAGGATCAAACTGATCTTTATGTGCCAAATTCTTTTTGGTAATATTTTACGTTAATTTCCTTGAACATGGTTTGGTTTGAGTTTCACCTTTTCCAAACTTTTTATATCTGTATTTCATACATGAACCTTTAAAGTATATAATGCACAGCAGTTTCAGAATGTTTTTAATGCCAAGTTGTTCACAATTTTTAAAGCAAATACTCAGTTTCAAACCGACTGTCTTTGATATTGTTGAGAAATAATAACATATTCTTTTACTATTGTGTTATACCTTGGATCTAATATATTGGGAAAACTTCAAGTGTTTCAGCAGGTTAAGACACACCTGAAGAGTAGAGATGTCATTAATTGCTTTTAATCAGAAAGAACACGACGTACACGTTAACTCATCTCTGATTTTGAGAGTTTTGTAGCTACAAAATAAACGGAAATTTTGTTTGTTTGTTTGTTTTGATTGTTTCCGCTATTTGAAAAATTAAACAAATACTTCTATTTTCTATACAAATACAAGTACAAGTTGCTAACAAAGATATTCAAGTAATTTTCAACTATTAGTTTTTGTGTCAAATTAAACATTTTAATGGCAAAATAAAATTGAATTGACCATTCAATCGTGTGATTTTTCCATAATAAACATACTAGTGTCATAATATGTTAGTAAAAAAGAAATAATTGATGCAAAGCATTAAAGGGCGTCCAAGCAGCAAGAAATGCAGCAAGTGAAGATGAACTAGTAGACATCTGATAACCAGATAGTCTTATAAACTTTTCTATGGTTAATTGGTTTTTACCAGAATTGTATATCATTTATGAATGGGCGGACGAAAGACATTGTTCATCATGAACATTGGTAGGCATGCTTAAATGTTTTTCCACAAGAAAAATTCTATCAATATTAACGATGATATCCAAAATATACAGGTCTATAATATCCAAAATATACTCCCTGGTATAAGTTTATTTATTCTATATAGGGGTTATTTTTGGATATTATCGTTAATAATGGTTATTTGATAAAATTTCAAGTTCATGTGGCATTTTCTTTGTTCTTGTGGAACATACAAAATAGTAATCAAAATAAACAAAGTCTGTTCATTGATATATTGGGAGGTCAATCTACTAGTTTAATGAATTACTTCAAAAACCTCGTTTGGCCCACCAGTCTGTGTACATTCCTAACAACTCATGTTAAAATTGCAGACGTAAGTTTCTCTTGTTAAAATGTCACAATATTCTGCAAATCAGCATTCCACTCAAGCTACCATAAAATCGATTGCCTTCAAACAAACCAACAGCAAAAATCCGGGAAATCAGGGTCGACTTTAGCTAAAGAGACTTGAACAGCGAATAGGTTTTATAGTATAGTATAGTAGACCCAACGTCAAAATAAAAGCGACATTTAAACTTATGAACTAGGTCTAAAAAAATATCCAGGCTAAAATGTCAATAATGCAATCAGGGTCGTAAAAAGGAAAACCGGAAAGAACCTACGGAAAAGACAAAATGATAATACTATGATATAACAATTCGTAAAAATGGCCAACTTAAATTGTTTCTATAGTTTTAAAAAGAGTGCAATAAATTGTTCGAGTATTTTTGCATTCCATTTCCTGCAAAATTCTCCAGTTTGTTATTTATTTCCATAGCGCCATACGAATCTTTAGTCTAAAGCAACTTCTATAAATTAATTTTCGGACTTTCACAATGTTAAGGTCATCATTCTAATCATAGTTACAGCAATACCTACTGTGTACTACAAAATGATTAATAAAAAACGGAGAGCGCGATTAATTGTCGGATAAGATTATTTCCTTTGAATATGTTTGCATTGCGAAATTCTCCAGTTTGCTATTCATTGTACATGTCGCTACATTTCATTATTGATAAACACCCTCATACAAAACGAAAAGGCCCGAGAAGTTGCAATTGCCCTTTCACAAAGTCTGATTTCATACAATAAAGAGGGTGGCGCTTCGGCGCAGACGCCAAAAATATGAAAAACAATATCATCAAGGAAGGGCGGCGTTCAATGAACGCAATACAATTTTCCACCTTAACAGTTCCCCCGCCTGACTGCTCTAACCCTATTTTATAGTCTGTATAATATGTGTAGAGTGTTCCACCACATGAATTTTAATGGTCCGTTTTTTTAGCTAAATGTCCCTGATACTCTAGGAAAACATGACTTTCTCTTAAAACAATTCATGTGTGACGAATATTTACATGGTGTCTTGCCCCCTGTTTTAAACTAGAACTCCGCGAGTTGGATGTGTCGCCTTATGAACATAATAGCTGTCACTTAGGCATTTTCTTCTGAAACACTGCTCTTATAATGTACATATACCTTTAACTTTAGTGGCATTTGAACTGATTGTAACAATGTTATATCAGGATTATTAAAACCGTTATTTTAACAAAAATAAAAATACCATTAAAAAGTTTTACACGGACTGATCAAATGGAGTACTCTGTGATGGATTCTTAAGCACTGCACTTCAGGTCAATGAAAAAGGCTAACATAGCAAATTTGGAGTCAATCAAACTTATAGTGACCAAGTTATGCTCCGGGCAAGGAAAATTAACAAATGGCAATAATTAAAAATTATAATGTGCAGAGTAGAAGTTCTTGTGCACTGCACTTGTTCTCAATGAGATATATCACCCTATGAAAGTTCGAGTAAATAGCTTTTAAAGTGCAGGAGAATTGGCCCAGACAAAAAAAGTTCTATAATGAACAAGGGCAATTACTCTAAAATGAATAACAGAGTACCTGTCGTTGTGCACTGCACTTCTTCTCAGTGGGATCTATCATCCTATGAAGTTTCAAGTCCATAGCTTTCATGGTTAGGTGAAATGGCTGGGACAAAAAAGTTAGAAAATTAACAAAGTGCAATAACTCAAAACTCATGGAATACAGAGTACCAGTTTTTGTGCTGTGCACTTTTTCTTAATACGATCTATCATCCTATGAAGTTTCATGTCCATATTTTTTATAGTTTAGGAAAAATGTCCAGGACAAAAATGAAATATAAAAATTAACAAAGGGCAATAACTCACAAATTAAGAACCAGTTTTTGCGCACCGCACTTCTAATCAATAAGATATATCATCCTATGAAATTTCAAGTCCATATAGCTTTTATAATTTATGAGAAATGGCCCTAACAAAAATAAAGTATGACAATTTACAAACAAAGGGCAATAACTCAAAAATAAATTTGTGCAGAGTGACGGTTCTTGTGTATTGCACTTTTTCGTAATGAGATCGATCATCCTATGAAGTGTCGAGTCCATAGCTTTTATACTTTAGAAGAAATGACCCGGACAAATGACAGCATAACCGATTTCAGTTTGTGTCAGGCTTTTGCTTGCGAATGCGATAGGGCGATAGGTCTATTGTCTTGAAAAGGACAACAAGCAACCCCGAATTTCGAAGCGTCCGTTTCCAGTATAAGCGGCTTTGTCGGGTCATAGTAACCTAGTACTGGTGCTTTTGACCTGAGAAAAAGCTCGATCATATACATGATCCCACATATACTGTGTGTCTTTTTTTCAAGAGGCTCCGTAAGGGGGCTGTAACTTCTGCTAGATTTGGCGCGAATTTAGAAAGATAATTGACCATTCCCTAAGAGCCTTTCGACCTTTTCGCGGTTATCGGGGATTGACAATTTCATGATTGCTTCGATCTTAGACGGGTCAGCTTTTAACCCACTTTCTATAATGATATGACCAAAGAATGGTACCGATTTGGCGCCAATGGTGAATTTTTGTTCATTAAACCTAATACCTTGCTCGCGCGCGTAATAAGGCCTGTGTAAGACGTTTGTCATGTTCACATTGCGTGCTTTCCTATATTAAAATATCATCAACAAGAGGGTGTATTCCGTTTATTCCGTCGAATATTTGATTGACCTTTTGACAACATATATCACTTGATGATGATAAACCGTATGGTAAACTTAAGAACCTATATCTACCAAAAGGAGTAGCAAATGTTGTAATGTAAGACGATGGTTTGTCTAGTTATACAGACACAATTTGCATGAGTAAGATCTAACATACTAAAATATTTAGCTCCATCGAGTTTTGCTGTTACGTCATCAAGTGTTGATGTAACATAATGAGGTCTACGTATTGCGTCATTGAGCTGTTTGGGTTTAGGCAAATACTTAATTTTCCGATCGGTTTTTGACCACTACAATCGGGTGTACCCAGTCCGTAGGTTCCGTCACAAGGGTTATATTTTCGTCTTTGACCATTTGCTCAAGCTTTAGCTTAAGTCGCGATTTGAGCGCTTCTGGTAAACGTCTCGGAGGTGTAATTACTGGTATAGCGTCATCACGCAGGTGTAATTTGCTTAAACCAGGGAGCATGCCTACGCCCCTGAACAAATCACCGTATTCAGACATAACTGATTCTTTAGTCATGCGCTGAGTATTTTGGCAGTTAATGTCATATGTGAGTTTAATTAATCAATGGTCAATAGACCCCAATTTTTTTCACCTAAAATGTTTCTGTTATCATATTCTAACAACATGCCAAGTTTAAAGAAATTCTATTGAACAGTTTTAATTTTGCCTATATATGTTATATGAAAACTCCAGAAAACGTCTTAACCTAAAGAAAAACCGTTGCAGAGCAACAGACATAGAAACATTTATTGCAGATGGACGTATTGTCTAAAACAATTAAAGGTGATTTATTAGAGGTGAACTTTTGTAAATGAGCTATTTCATTATGGTTGCATAGTCAAAAAGCATACATTGTGCTGGTTGTAAGTCAATAAGCGTTGTTAATTGAGATAGACTTATCAGATTTTAGTGACATTGTGTTATTTATGAAATTGCGTTGAGTCGATAAAAGTTACAGTTTAAGTTTAAGTATATATCTAACATAGCAGCGAGGAGATGTCGCCGAATTACGTGCTACTCGTGTTAACATGAAAACAATCAGAAAAAATAATAACACGACATTCTCTGCCCTCCAACCAAAGAAAAAAATAAAACAAAGGCCAATACGTTAAGAAAGTGAATAAAGAAACTTAAAAAAATAATCTGAGATCCAAAACGTTATCGATATAACTTTAACGTGTCCGTTTCAATGCACAACGACATAATCTGATTGAATCTCAGACGTTTTACGAGAAAAATAGAGTTTCAGCATTTTCCGAACAAACAAAAGTTAGTTTCGTCAATCAGAAAGAAAAACAGTATCTCTAAAACTACTAAAAGGAATGGGTTAAAATGTCACACACTCATTAAAGAACATAAGTGGAGGTCACTATCCAAGGTCTATCACTCCGATATGGATTTTGACAGAACTATGACCCTTGCTTTTAGAAAAGTCTGCGCAAACCATGATAGCTTAAACAGTGTACACTTATAATTCAGGTTTATAAAATCATCATGTAACATATTGTTAACTAGATAATACTGAGATGACATTTAATAATAATATAGTAGTACAAACCACAAATAACTTTAAGTGCAGCACATAGTATACTAATAAATGTCATAAACATATCTATTGATTTAAATGTGAGTAACTTAATCATTGGAAAGACAAACTGAACCTTTTCGACAATCTGACATTTTACTGATTTCAATTCAAACAATATCTTTTACATTAGTTAATTATAGGTATATTGGTTTTCGTTAGGTTAGACATTTAACTTGGAGTGACATGACGAAACAGAAACCAGTCTTGCTAGAGAAAATATTTTTTTGCTTCAAAAACACATCGCTTTTTAAAGTGCAAAACATGTATTTATGGTTTCAAATAAAGAGAAGTATGTGAAAATTGCGTGTAATTGTCGTACTAGAAAAATGATACGTTCTGTGTAAATACTGATATTTTTTTTGAAGCAAGTTAGGGACAATAAGCATGATTTATCACATAAAAAATATTTTAGTTGTTGTGATAAATATAGGTACATTTAACACGTTATTTTGTTAACGTGTCCTTGAATATCTTCCAAATTATCGAGGTAGAGGTTAAACACCGGACCGTGTCAAGAATTTGATCTCCAATCTGTAATATCTTATCTACATTCTTCAATGACTGGCTAAACTGAGATTCAAAATCAAATATTTTTCATTCATCCGTTTTAATCATAATTGTCAGATGTCTACTTCCGTCGTTAGATAAAGTTCGTTGAAATAATCTATTTATAGACACAAGTCATATGATACGACACAGTACAAAACGCGATTAATTAACTTGTAACGCCATTTAACTTCAACATGGATAAGAAACTTAAAATATCTGTCATTGTTGTTCTACTTTGTATTGTTATTTGTTTGACTTTGGTGTTAGCTCTTGTCTGGTCAATGCCTGATTTACCAACAACAGAACAGAGAAATCAGATTTGTCTATCAAGTGAGTTTGGACCCTTAAAATGCGGCAAAACATCTGACATGTTAGCCGATTATCTCGGAAAAGTAAGTGTCATTTATATACAAGTAGTTGATAAATTTTATAGTTTATTCAAAAGGCAGCATGAAACATAAAGTAAACATTAGTTATAACAAAGTATTTTGTATTCAACGTTTCGCTTAAATTGTTCAAAAATAAAATTAATTGAATAAAATATTCAATAGATTCTGTGTTAATGTATCTTTCTATTTTGATAAAAATACACCAACTTTTAAAATGTTACACATTACAGTTAACCAGACAGGTGTATTTTCATCAGTGATTATAATCATATGGTCATATGACGACTGTTTAGTTTTTACTAGGGATATGAGACCTAAGATGTTTCTCTCCACGACCGGACGCCTGAGTAGAGCCACTCACCTTCCGTAGGATCGCTGGATACTTTTCTCACACGAAAGATTCCAAAGTCCCTGAAGGAATTCGATCCTTCAACTTTCTGTCCATACACAATATATTTTCGATGTACCAGGTATCTCAAATGTTATCCACTTAATGAGAGGTCTATAACGTTAGGAAATACGTGGCATTAACATGTATGGAAGATGTTCAATCAATCCGCATGTTTATGGAGATTGTTTTTTATTAAAATATTCTTTCATGCAATTTATCACCAAACAAAATACCTAAAAAAATCCATAAAATCATGGTTCTTATAGAGTTTAAAGTTATTATCTTATGTTCACTGAAGTGAGATCAAAGCCTATCCATCTTGGAAGTACACTTAATATCCAAGATGTCGGTCAATCTTTGTGTCGAAGAGTGGAAACGAAAATATTTTAAAATCAGTTACCCTCACCCTATGAATCGAATTTCAACAACACGATATGTAACTTAAGATAAAAATATGTAAACTTAAGTAATTTGGTTGATGAATGAATGAGCTTTGAGGAACAATAAGTATAGTGGAATAATAGACTGGCGGAGGGAATTAGGACGCCCCCACCTCTAATTGAATTTTCAACAGTGTGAGATCTTTGTAAACAAATATTCATGGGTAGTCCAAACAAAAATGAAAATGAAAAGACATTCTATAAATCCTAATAGTTTTAGTATATTGAAATGGTATCAATATCTTATAAATATGAATGTATTTGATGCAAATCTAATTTATTTACCATTTATCAATATCTTTTGCATTCAAACATTACAATAACTATCTGCTTCACTATTATGTGTCAGTCATTCAATGCAGTTAGTAGTTACATTCTAAACGTCATCAATAAAAGAGTAAGAAACTATTGATATAAATTATATCGCTATCGCCAGCAAATATTAAAAATGTTGAATTTTTTCACTTTGTTTAAAGTACTGTTATTGCCTGTCGAATTATAATAATTGTAATAAATTAGTAATCTAATGTATATCAAGTTCTCCATAACAATTTGAAAAGAATTTGAAATAAAAAAAAATAACATTCTACGTATCATAAGAATTTCACACAATTAGATGTTAAACCTGCTACGTACATTACTGCAAAAGGGTCAGTGCGTCTTCAAGTTTAAGCTTCTTTCACAGTCGTAGTAAAATAAATTTGCATAAACTTTTTGATACACAATAGTCTAGTATTTTTATATTTAAGGTAGTTTTATTCACGTAAATGTGTTTATGTTTCATCCATAATATTTTGTCATTATCAATTTTTATCAGTAGCCTATGACAGCTTATCATTTTAAATAGTTAATTCAGGCAAACTTGACAGTGAATAAAGAGCAAACTGTCACTTATCTTTGAGCAACATTTATTCAAAATTTATCTGGTATGGCTATGGTATGTTAAGCTTATGCAAGGTTAAGTTTGCTTAATACAGAAAAAACGTTTTTTTTACACAACAAATTTAGATGTAGTTACTTTAAATCCCTTAAACAATATCATTTTTGTTAGCACGACTATTCGATAAGAATAAGTAGAGCTATTGTAGTCACTCGAGCGTCAGCGTCGGCGTTGGCGTCCGCGTAACCACTTATGTTAAAGTTTTTGTAATACCTCAAATATTTTCAGTCCATTAACATATGGCTTTGAAACTTTGCACACTTGTTCACTATTATGACCCTCACCTGTAGACAGGGGAAGGTAACTGTAATAAGCGTTTTGACAGAATGATGCCCCTTTTTCAACTTAGAATGTACGTTAAAGTTTTTGTAATACCTCAAATATTTTCAAAGTCCATTGACATATGGCTTTGAAACTTTGCACACTTGTTCACCATCATGACCCCAACCTGTAGACAGGGGAAAGTAACTGTATCAAGGTTTCTGACAGAGTTATGCCCCTTTTTCGACTTAGAATTTACTTTAAAGTTTTTGCAATACCTCAAATATTTTCAAAGTCCATTGACATATGGGCTTTGAAATTTTGCACACTTATTCATCATCATAACCCCAACCTGTAGACAGGAGGAGGTAACTGTATCAAGCATTTTGACAGAAATATGCCCCTGTTTTACTTAGAATTTACGTTGAAGTTTTTGTAATACCTCAAATATTTCCAAAGTCCATTGACATATGGCTTTGAAACAAGTTGAAATTTAATAGTCTTCTTTGAAAGCATAATAGGACTCTCTCCAATGCCTATATCCTTAATATGGATTTAAAGAAAAGTTTTACCCTCATCTTTATTTAGAAAATTTTACATTATCGAGGCTTTTTTACTATCAAGCACTAAGAATAGTCGAGCGTTGCTGTCCTACCGACAGCTCTTGTTTACGATTGTTCTTTCTGGTTTCAATTTTAAATAAAAGCCCTGAACAAAAATTTTTAAATTACATACAATATAAATAATTATTGTTAGACTAGACCAATTTAAGTATGCTAAGAGGTTACCTGATTGTAGACAGTCATGTTTTAAGCTAAAGTAAGGACCCTGATCGCCCGAGAGAGCATTTCAACCCAGTCTGTAATTTTCAGAATACAAGGTTAAGAGCACTTAGACTAATTTCTTCTTGCAATACTGTTTCTTTATCATAGCAATTTTTTGAAGACAATTGCTGTCATTGTATCCCTATGATAAAATGTAGTTAAGATGTTTTTCTCATTAATATTTACATTAATTTTTTTAATGATGGTAAGATATTTATTAAGTTCAATACTCTTAACTAGCAACTTGTTTATGTTTTATTATTTAGATGATCTCATGCATAGTCATATGATAAGTTAAACTGTTTCTTTTTATAATTATGTGTGAAACCATCAACTCGTGTGAAGTAATTGACATGCCTTTCGGTGTTGCAATTACAGAACAACACTCGCAAAAAGGGAGATTTCATACATTTTTTTCATTTCATACGTCATTTTATATTGTAATTAATGTGCTTTAAATAGTATATAAACTTTTGTATGCAGCCTCTTTAATAACGCATGTGTGCATTATGGTTTTGTTTGTACATCTCGTACATTTGTGATAATTACCTAAGGAAAAATGTAACTATCATTATAAATAGACACGAAATTTACTTTTATATATTCTTTGGACCGATAATTGAGCCCAGTCCTATCAAATAATAAGTTTGAATCTTATCCAAGGTTAACAAGCTATTGGGATATTATCAGGAAAAAGTAAAAAAAAAAAGCAAAACTATTTCCATTAGAGTTTGAAATCCTTGACCTTGACTGTTGTCTCTGTTTTACAGACAATTGGGAAGCAGTATGATGAAGCTAAAAGAAAACATGAAGAGAAACAACAAGCTTATCTCAGTGAAAACAGTGCCCGCCTTATGAATATATATGACAAACATTTTTGGGAAATGAAACCAGCTGCAAAATTAACTGGAAAGGAGCAACCGCCATTAAGAGAAAGTATGAACAATATTTTAATTGGCATGAATTTGCTATTGTTACAATTCAATTCTTAATGCAAAAGGCTTATTACATATCTTTTCATTTTCCAGTTGACATTGGCGCTGATATGGTTCCTATAAGAGAGTGGTGTAACGGTAGAGAACTGTATGATACAAAAGGCTTTATCAGATTAGGAATTAGATACAGAAATGGTCGACTAGTTGTTCCAGTAGACGGCACATATTTTATTTATTCTAATCTTGATTTTTTTGAGGAATCTAACCCCTCGTCAGGATTACCGGATATCAAAGATATAAATAAACCAATTAAGCACGGTATCTTTAAGTTCAATATTCTTGAAGGAGAGGAAAAAGAATTAGTATCAAATGTACAACCACATACTATCTCTACCAACCGATACTACAATTCATATAATAGCTACGTCTCGTCACTGGCAGAACTAAAAGCTGGTGATGAACTTTCTGTTAAAGTTAGCAATATTTCATACATAAGATACACAAAGGACAATTATTTTGGAGTAAATCTAATATGACGCTATCCTCGCCCTGGGGAACACGTGCACGTCGTGGTGGGGGCACAATACGTCAATTTTAGTACATTATACGCTGCACATTACGTGTTGACCAATTGTTCGAGTCCTGCAATCTTTCATCTGGTTTACCGAATATCAAGGATATCAATAAACCAATTAAGCACGGTATTTTTAAATTCAATATTCTTGAAGGTGAGGAAAACGAATTAGTATAAAATGTACAACCACATACTATCTCTACCAACCGATACTACAATTCATATAATAGTCATATCTCGTCACTCGTAGAACTAAAAGCTGGGGTTAAACTATCAGTTAAAGTTAGCAATATAACATACATAAGATACACAGAGGACAATTATTTTTGCGTAAATCTAATATGACCTCATCGCTGCCGTGATAAGGGAAAATTCAACTAGGAGCCACGACACTAAGCAATGAATATATCTGCGCTAAACACTGCATGTTTCAGAAAAGAACAGAACAGAATATATCTTGATTAACTCAAGTTACATAAGGAACACATTAGTATACATACAAACAGTGATGAATCTCTGTTAATAAACTACTATTCCACACATTGTAGTTTTAAACCGGATAACCGAGATACGATCTTCTTGTTTTTTGTCTTTTGTTTTATAGTTATATATATTGTCTTATTTAGTCATTTTGAAATATGATCTGAGTTGTAAATATACTTAATATATAAATTGAATGTATTTTTGTTTTATTTTTCAGTAATTTATCTGGCCCATTCTATTTATTATTGTTATTTTCAAATGATATCTAAGAGACTCTACATAAAGCATATACAATGGGATACTTTTCTTAAGATGTAGAATTCTACCCATAAATTCAGTGTGAATTTTTTCGAGTAAGTTACAGTTTTTATTTCCCCAAACGAATAACTCACATTAAGTTTGAGAATGGCTTAACGTATCTCATGAAGTATGGACGATTAAGAATAACATATATTTATAAACATGCTCATAAAACATTTTATGAAACTTAATCGCCACTGATCGATAATTTCTATGAAGAAGCTCCTTGTTTGAAAATACTTATAAATTAGACTTGAGCATGCGATAATTTCTTTAACTTACTTTTGTTTAAATTTTTATATTCTTAATTAAAAGTATTACAAACGCATAAAGGCAGCATGTAGAGCCTACCAGCTATAAACGTACATTTGTTTAACAAAACGTCGAATTGCTTACACATTTATATTGGACAACAACCTGTACTGTATTAAAAATACAGTACGGTCAGAACAAAAGAATTACGTCATAGTTTTAATTTAATAGGCAGGAAACGCGTGAAATGGATTACACATTACCCCTGGTTATTATCAATGTTTCAAGGACGCCTTTATAGAATTTAGTTTATGTTATGGTGACGTAATTTAAATAAGGAAGTTTAGTAGTATTGTCGATTTTTATCACGAATGTATGATAACAATAAGAGTATTAACTATCATGACCATTTTAATGGGTTTAAGGCAAATTTATACGCTATTTTACACTAGCCTTTTTACAGTCGATATTTTCAAGTTTATGTTTAGTTTATACAATGTATTACAAGATCAAAATTTGTTTTCAGATAATTTTTAGCAGAACACAAATGTAGACTTCAAAAAGTTTCTTTTTCACTTTAAACGTGACGTCATCTTCGTCCGGACTCAACGACAAGTCGTGATTGTGAAGGCAACATAAACTAAACTTTTACAAAATGAAAACAGTTTTACGTTTCCATTTTAGTCGTGATAACTGATATAAATACGATTTACAATTCTTGAACAACTTATAAACTATTTACCTTGATTATAACCAGAAACGCTTTAAGTGGATTTTTTTTTATATCAATTTCATTTTACATTCTTACAAAAGAACATACAAATGTATGTCAAATAATAAGCTAATTATAAGAGGGTTTGAAAAATTACAAAATTCTCTGACCTGGTTTCTTTGGAATTTGCGGTGACAATATACATCAAGTTTATTTTTGTTATTGGGTTTAACGTTTCAAAAACAGTATAGATTATAATTTATGGCAAAGTTTCAATTGGAAAAATTATTAAAATACAATATTTTAGGCACAAACGGGCACCTGAGTACAACAATCGGCGTTCCTTTCTCATTATTATGCAGAATCCGTCGAAGCTTGTGCTGCTCGAACATACAGCACTGAGAAGTGGCTTGAAGCCAACGACGTTATCCACTCGCCCACTGACGCCCTTATTTATATTCATCATTAGTTACAAATGTTTTATGACATGATACATAGGTGTCCCACATATTATAAATTGCTGGCAATTATATTTGTGCTCATATAATTATAGTGCGACTTTCTTATACTTTGGAAAAACGAAAGTCTTCCACTCGTTCACACCATTTAAGAGTAATTTACTTTAAACGTTTTGTATTTTGATTTTAACCGCACAGAAATTGTCTTTTCTCCTTCAAATCGTTATTTCTTATATGCATTATTCTATATATAAAATCGAGTGCACATAGACGAAACCCCTTCTAAAGTAAGCTTATTCGCACGTTGCAAGGGAAGCAATCCAGATAAAATGTTTTAATTCTAAATATTGTATCCAATAATATCACATCATTCTTGTTGTATTAATACTGACATGCATATGAGTACATGTATTGTATTTTATAAGCATCTGTTGCACCTTTTATATAATATTCATCAGAAAAAAATAACATATTAAGAAAATTATACAGAAAAGTACGAAAAAATAACATATTAAGAAAATTATACAGAAAAGTACGAAACTTTTGTTCGCACGTTGCAAGGGAAGCAATCCAGATAAAATGTTTTAATTATTGTATTATACATACATGCATCATTTAAGTAATTTTATTTATACCGTTTAACTTTAAATGTGTTTATATACATACTATTAGATTATAACATTTCTATCATGTTGCACATTAGGAGAATATAATTGTACAATTAAATTAGGAGATTTGATGTTCGAATGATTATCATTGTTTCTCTCATTGCCACTATTTTTATTCTTATCAGTACCATACTTATCATTATTATTAAAATCATCATCATACTCCTAGATATCATCATCATCATTATCAGCAGCATCACATCATTTATTATCGTCATCGTCGTCATAATCATCGAAATTGTCAATTTTATCATCATCGGCATCATTATGTCACTTATATCACTTACGCGTGATTTCCAAAACTAAAAGACCTGGCGTATAAAAGTTTATAAACTGTTGTTCAATTCATTTAAATTTGAACCGGTTATATACATATAATGGATATCGTTTAATCTAGCTTTCCAAAACGTAAATGCAGCAACCAATTAACACGCAGTGATTTACTTTTCAAATATACGGATAAAGTAATTGAAAATATGTCCAGATGCAAACAGGACAATTAAACATCATTTTTGCCTAAAGGAAATTTAAAATGGTAATTTGTTGTTGTTGTTGTTGTCTTTGCGCATTGCGATTATAAAACCTATGTCTAACATAAAGAATATTACATCACCTTACAGCATATAATTTTGTTTCTTTTAAATGTTGATATACATTTTTATACAATTGTAATGTTTTAACCATGAATATTTGATATGAGATATAATTGTCAAAGCATTATTTGGCATTGCAAAACAGACTGATTGTGACAACAGCTTCATTACATTTTCATGTAAAGAAATATAAACTACAAACGTTGTCATTTTGTCATGTCATAAAAGCTGATGTACTTAATTCTTTTACCTAACGATAATAATAGAATTCACTTTTCGTGTTACTAAAAGAAACATTTCGGGCAGTCAGGTACACAACTATAACAGTTGGCACAGCCTATCAAATTACTGTGTCTTAATCGTTGTCAATTATTATTTGATAAAGAGGTCCGTATGAACTTTCTATACCAATTTCGAATGAATTTAGGAGTGTCCACGGTCGAGTGATTTCAAACCACTTAACCCCTCACAACTGTGGGTTCAAATCCCGTCAGTGACTTTGGTGCTTTCATGTGATGAACTATTCAGCAAACAATAACCTTTAAGTTACTGAAATTTAAATACATTCTTGACTTAAGTGTCTCCATTCACAATAAAATATTGATAAGCTCTCACTGTTCTGAATTGTCCTAATATCAAGTAGTAGTTAGTGGTTAAGTCTGTTTACACTTACATGTTTAAATTGAAATTATTCACACAGAAAAAAAGAAATCTAGACGAGGATTGTTTTAATTTTCCCCATTATTTCCTTCCGTTTTAATACTTTTTAAATAATGTATAAACCTGACATTGGGCGCGCGAGATACCAGATACGCTTTTAATCAAACACATTAAGTGAAGAAAAATCTGTTTAAATTTTAACTTGTAAATCAACTTCATTTCATATCAGTTTTTGTCGAATTGGATTTAAAATTACTTGATAGTGACAGTTATCTCATTCACATTTCTTTTGATAAATGTCAAGGATTGAAATGATCTTTTTTTCGATGATGCAATAGTATTTTATTATATCTAT